GGCACAACTCCGCTTCATGAAGCGATTCAATTTGTGAATACGGAAATTGCTGAATTACTATTAAATCATGGAGCTAACGTTAATGCCAGTGATAAATCAAGTAGAACTTTAAATTGCAGCTAAGAAAAGATATTTACAGATTGATGAACATCTTTTTAAACATTAATTTGAGTTACTTTTATATATATTTCTTCCTTTTCAGGTATTACACCACTGTGTCTCACTGTTCAAAAAGGACTTGTAAGTGGTGTTCAGATGCTTTTGGACAGAGGTGCTAATGTTAATGCTGAAACTCAGTGTGGCTTTACTCCGCTTCACTATGCGATTGAAAATGAGAAAATGGAAATTGCTGACTTACTTTTAAAACATGGAGCTTACCTTAATGCCAGTGATAAGTCAGGTATAACTCTATATTGCAACTGAGAAAGGATCAATCTGTAATATACAGATTGATGAATATCTTAAAACATAGAGTTTATATTACTTCTACTTATATCTATTCCTTTACACCAAGTGTTACACCACTGCTTTTTGCTGTTAAAAACGGACATGAAAAATTTGTCGGCACGATTTGTTGTGACAGACGTGCTAACGTTAATGCTAAAACTCGATATAGCACAACTTTGCTTCCTAATGCTATTGAAAATAGGGAAGTGAAAATTGCTGAATTACTTTTAAATCATGGAGCTAATGTTAACGCCAACGGTATAACTTCTTTTCATATTGCAGATGAGAAAGGATACAGATTGATGAACATATTTTAAAACATGGTTTTCAACCTACAAATGGTACACTGGTGCAAATTCGCACTACGGAAAAATTGAGATTATGTATACAAATGGTTTACTTTTTACAATATAAAAAAGAAAGATATTATAACTTAATCTACAAAACGCTCGCATTCACTACATAGTGCTGAGCGATGATTATCGCACATTCTGCGCAAGCAATTCGAACATCTCAGACGTGTCTCACACTAGTGCACCACTTGAAGGTTACTTAGAGGGTTATTTCTACATATATCCCTTTATTTTCAGATATTACATTACTGTGGTTTGCTATTCACAGAGGACATGTAGATGGTGTTAAAATGCTTTTGGACAAAGGTGCTAACGTTAATGCTGAAACTTGGTGGTCGGACAAAACTCCGCTTCACTATGCGATTGAATATGAAAAAATGGAAATTGCTGAATTACTTTTAAATCATGGAGCTAACGTTAATGCCAGTGATAAGTCAGGTATAACTCTATAATGCACTTGACAGATTATATAAATTTTTGAACATTTTTTAAAACATGGAGTTTATGTTAATTTTATATATATATCTACATTTACAACAGGTGTTACACCACTATGTCTTGCTGCTAAAAAAGGACATGAACAATTTGTTAAGATGTTTCTTGACAGAGGTGCTAACGTTAATGCTAAAACTGGGTGGTTGGAGAGAACTCCGCTTCACTATGCGATTGAATATGAGAAATTGGAAATTGCTGAATTACTATTAAATCATGGAGCTAACGTTAATGCCAGTGATAAGTCAGGTATAACTTTATATTGCAGATGAGAAAAGATATTTACAGATTGATGAACATCTTTTTGAACATTCCTTTGAGTTAATTTTACATATATCTCTTTTTTTTCAGATTGTACACCACTGTGTTTTGCTGTTCGACATGGACATGTAGATGGTGTTAAGATTCTCATCGACAGAGGTGCTAACGTTAATGCTAAAACTCTGAAAGGCTCTCTGCTTCATGATGCGATTTACTTTCAGAATTCGAAAATTGCTCAATTACTATTAACTCATGGAGCTAACGTTAATGCCAGTGATAAGTCAGGTATAATTTTATGTTGTAGCTGAGAAAAGATATTTACAGATTGATGAACATCTTTTTGAACATTAATTTGAGTTACTTTTATATATATTTCTTCCTTTTCAGGTATTCCACCACTGTGTCTCACTGTTCAAAAAAGATATGTAAATGTTGTTCAGATGCTTTTGGACAGAGGTGCTAACGTTAATGCTAAAATTTGGCGGTCGGGCAGAACTCCGCTTCACTATGCGATTGAATATGAGACAATGGAAATTGCTGAATTACTTTTAAATCATGGAGCTAACCTTAATGCCAGTGATAAGTCAGGTATAACTTTATATTGCAGATGAGAAAAGATATTTACAGATTGATGAATGTCTTTTTGAACATTAAGTTTAATTGGAGAGGTCATTCTACATATATCTCTTTCTTTTCAGGTGTTACACCACTGTGTCTAGCTGTTCAAAAAGGATATGTAAATGGTGTTAAGATGCTCATGGACAGAGGTGCTAACGTTAATGCTGAAACTCGGAATAGGAAAGCTCCGCTTCACGATGCGATTGAAAATAAGGAAATAGAAATTGCTGAATTACTTTTAAATCATGGAGCTAACGTTAATGCCAGTGATAAGTCAGGTATAATTTTATATTGTAGCTGAGAAAAGATA